GAGAGAGAGAGAAACATCGATGTGAAAGGGACACATCGAGTGGTTGCCACCCGCACGACCAACCAGGGCCGGGGACAAACTGCAACCGAAGTACGTGCCCCTAGCGGGAACCGAACCCAGGTCTCTCCGGACCGCAGGCCGACGCTCTAACCGCTGAGCCAAACCGGCCAGGGCTTATTTTTCAATGTTAAATTTGCTGTTACATATTTTCTGTAGTCCTGAATAAAATATTCTTAATTTTACATGTATGTTGAAATAATATTTTACACATTGAATTAATGTTAACTCTTCATATTTGTACTCTTTAGTGCTTGCTGTAGGGATTATAATATGCATCCTCAATTTACCATCATCTCCCTTGAATACTATAATACCATTTCTCATAACATATGAGTTTACATGATGTAATTATTACTACCTCTTCCCCATTTGTGCTGGTATTGTAATCTTTTTTATATCTACATATGTTATAAACCTAATAATACCTAACAATTATTTTTATCTTTGCTTTGAAGAGCCAATCATCTTTTAAAGAAATTAATTTCTTTTATATTTTCTTACATATATATCATTTTGCAGTGTTACCTAAGCTAGAAGTAGTGTCTCCCTTGTTTGGATTCTCATAGCACATATTTTGGACCATTTTATGTCCTATATGACATCATGTAATGTCATATTTATCAAAAACGTAAAATATCCTTTGCTAGTTTTAGGTTATTTTCTGGCAAGGACTAGAGTTTATTCATTTTTAAATACTTTATTGTGTCTAGCACAGTGCCTTACACAAAATAGGCAACAGTTGTTGTTTGAACTATGTAACAATCACTAGAATTTTGTTTTTATCTATTTGAATAATCCAACAAGTTGTATTATTACAGTTCATTTTGTAACATTTTATATTCTTGCCAATAAATTCCTTACTATAATTTTATTAAATTCAGAAAGTTGGCATTCCTTTTTAAGTGCATTTAAACTGAGAAGAGTCCGTACATTTTAAAAGTGCTTTCTTTCTAAAACAGACACACTCGTAAATTATTTTTATTTTTATTATCTTTTAGGGTTATTTCTCTAAGTCGATACCCAACCATATTTGTTATCTTTTAAGGTCACATGTGTAAGTCTTATATGAAACCAACTGGATTTCCTTAAAAATTCAAACGCTGGTATTACTTTTTGATCATTCTCTTTGTGGAGCAAAGTATAGAACTATTATAAGTAATAGTGGAAAGGAGGAGGAAATTCAGAAATACCTTAAGACAGGTTTAGAATTCTTTCTATCAGTAGTGTAATTCTGAAAACCACCTTCTGATTCTAGAATCCTGAGTTAACCCGGATTCACCAGAAGTGAGTCTCTAGATAAGCTTTGATGGCAACTGCTGATTTTATTTGGCTTTTTCAGTGAAAGGAGAACTAATTTAGCTGTGAAAAGTAATGTAGAGGCAGAGAAAAACGAGATTTGTAAGGCTCTGTTGGCCAGTCGTGGAACACAATTAAGTGCTAAAAATGAGTTTCCCTCACTAATTCTCCTTCCTTAAAAGAAAACACTTTTCTTTATACATTTTTATTCTTTGTTAATCCTCAATTGATTTATTTTGGAGAGAGAGAGAGAGAGAGAGAGAAACATCGATGTGAGAGAGACATATTGATTGGTTGCCTCCTGCACACACCCCAACTGGGGCTGGGGATCGAACCTGCAACCCAGGTATGTGCCATTGATAGGTACTCAAACCCATGACACTGCAGTGCATGTGCTGAAGCTCTAACCACTGAGCAGTGCTGGGCAATACATTTTTTCATGTTATCTTTTTTTTATCCTCACCCGAGGACATTTTTCCATTTTTTGTACAGATAGAGTGGGAGGGAGAGAGAGGAAGAGAGAGAGAGAGAGAAACATCGATGCGAAAGGGACACATCGAGTGGCTGCCACCGGCACGACCAACCAGGGCCGGGGACAAACTTGCAACCGAAGTACGTGCCCTTAGTGGGAACCGAACCCGGGCCTCTCCGGACCGCAGGCGGACGCTCTAACCGCTGAGCCAAACCGACCAGGGCTTTTTTTTTTTCTTATCCTCACCCGAGGACATTTTTTCATTTTTTGCTCAGATAGAGTGGGAGGGAGAGAGGAAGAGAGAGAGAAACATTGACGTGAAAGGTACACATCAGCAGTTTCAGGTTCAGTGAAGAAAAGATAAACGGGAAGAAAAAAGTATTTTTCTCCTCTCATTTTACATGAAGTACGCAGTATGGAATTTTATTAAATTTCTTACTTAGATTTTAATGGGCACTTGTGTACTTCTTAAGACTGAAGTTGAGGAAAGGTGGTGAGTGAGCAGGGCGCTCTGAGCGAGCCAGCCGGCAGAGTGCTGGGCACAGCGTGGAATCGTGCACATCTTGGGACCCGGTAAAACTCCTCGGACATTCACCCACCCTGTCTGCACACCCTGCTCACTCCCATTGGATAAACTCTGCACAGGTTCCCCTTCGCCCCTGGCATCCCAGTTCTTAGGATGAAGAAGAGTATGGAAAAGAATAAAATTAAAAAATGTAAATTGTCTATTAAATGTCACTCCTGCTTTTACAAAACTGTAAATTAGTAACATGCATAGTCTATACAATGTATCTCTTAGAAATTTTTTTTTTTTTTTATCCTCACCCGAGGACATTTTTTCCATTTTTGTTCAGATAGAGTGGGAGAGAGAGAGAAACATTGACGTGAAAGGTACACATCGAGTGGCTGCCACCCACACACCCAACCAGGGCCGGGGACAAACTGCAACTGAGGTACATGCCCTTAGCAGGAACTGAACCCGGGTCTTTCTGGACCGCAGGCCGACGCTCTAACCGCTGAGCCAAACTGGCCAGGGCTCATGTATCATTTTTAATTTTAAAATTTCAACTGGATATACCTAAATTGTCTGGCCTAGCCTCGTCAAATAGTTTTCCTAGTACTCAGTGCACCTTTGATCTAAAGACTTAATTCTATTTCTTAAAGTTTTATTAATTTAAATTTATTTTTTATTATTGAAAGTATTACAGATGCCCCTCTTTTTTTTTTCTTTTACTGCTATTGATATCCCTCCCCCAACCCCCAACCTTGCTTTCACCGCAATATTGTCTGTGCATATATGCAGATAAGCTCTTTGGTTTATCTCTCACCCCCCTCCCCACGCCTCCTCTTTCCTCTGAAGTTTGTCAGTCTGTTCCCTACTTCCACGTCTCTTGATCTGTTTTGTGCGACAGCTTATTATGTTCATTATATTTCACAAATAAGTGAGATCATGTAATACTTGTATTTCTCTCTGGCTTATTTCGCTTAGCATAATATTCACCAAGTCCCTCAATGTCGTCTCAAAGGGCAAGAGATCTTTCTTACAGCTGTGTACCATTCCATTCTTTAAATGTACCACAGCTCTTGTATCTACTCATCTACTGATGGACACTTGGGCAGTTTCCAGATCTTAGCTAGTGTAAATAGTGGTATTATGAACATAGGGGTACACATAATATTTCTTATTGGTATTTTTGGATTCCTAGAATATAGTCCTAGAAGTGAGATCACTGGATCAAATGGTAGTTCAATGTTTAATTTTTTGAAGAAATACCATATTTTCCTTAGTGGCTACATCAGTCTGCATTTTCACCAGCAGTGTACTGTAGTACCTTTTCTCCACATGCTCGCTAGTTTGTGTTTGTTGAATTGTTGATGGCAGCCTTTCTGGCAGGTGTGAGGTAATACCTCATAGTTGTTTCAGTTTGCATCTCTCTGATGATTAGTGACACTGAGCATTTTTTCATATGTCTCTTGGCCATTTGTATGTCCTCTTTGGAGAAGTGTTCAGGTCCTCTGCCCTTCTTTTTAACCCATTATCTGATTTATCACTGGCAAATAATGTTTTCCCATACAGTGGGTTCCCTTTTCATTTTGATACTAGTTTCTTTTGCTGTGCAGAAGCTTTTTAGTTTGATGTAGTTCCTTTTTATTTTTTTCCTTTGTTTCTCTTACCCTAGGTTATGTATTGGTTAAAATTGTGCTACGTGTGATGACTGAGATTCTGCTGCCTACATTTTCTTCTAGGATTTTTATGGTTTCATGAATGACATTTAAGTCTTTTACCCATTTTGAGTTTATTCTTGTATATGGTGTAAGTTGGTGGTCTACTTTCATTTTTTTGCATGTAATTGTCCAATTTTCCTAACACCATTTATTAAAGATGCTGCCTTTACTCCATTGTATGCTCTTGCCCCCTTTGTCAAATATTAATTGAGCATAATGTCTTGGGTCAACTTTTGGGTTCTCTGTTCTGTTCCATTGATCTATATGCCTGTTCTTGTGCCAGTACCAGGCTGTTTTTCTTATAATGGCTTTGTGGTATGGCCTGATTTCTGGTATTGTAATCCCTCCAACTTTGTTCTTCTTTTTCAAGATTGCTACGGTTATTCAGGGTCTTTGTTGATTCCATATAAACTTTTGGAGTATTTATTCTAGAACTGTGAAATATGCCATTGGTATTTTAATAGGGATTTCATTGACTCTATAGATTGCTTTGCATAGTATGGGCATTTTAATGATGTTGATTCTTCCAATTTATGAACATGGTATATACTTAATTTTATTTTATTTTAGTTTTTAAATCTTCCCTGTAGTTTTCTGAGAACAGGTGTTTTACCTTCTTGGTCAAGTTTATTACTAGGTATCTTAATTTTTTGGTTGCAGTGGTAAATGGGATTGTTTTTTCCATTTCTCTTTCTGAGTGTTCATTATTGGTGTATAAAAATGCCATCGATTTCTGGATGTTAGTGAATAATTTTTATGAAGTGTAATTGGTCATAAGTATTGTAGAAAATAAAATGTTGGTCATACTACATACTACATTGGTGTACTTAGCAGTAATCAAGAGATGCTAATAGTCTTACTTATTGATGATAATTAATTTTGTAATCCATGCTTTTTGTCCTTATGTTTTTGTATATTCCTACAGCAAAAGCAGTTAACAGGTCATGGCACGTTTAACAAAAAGACGACAGGCGGATACAAAAGCTATCCAGCATCTTTGGGCAGCCATTGAGATTATACGGAACCAGAAGCAAATTGCCAACATTGATCGTATTACAAAGTAAGTAAATGTAAACAAAAAGATCTCTATAATATTTCATATAAGACTTTGGGGGATAACTTATAATAATGTGTATTACAAAGTATTAGTCACTTTTTGCCTTACAGAAGTATACAGTTGTTAGAAAAACAAATACAGAAATATACACAAGCAACTTGTGTTTAAAAGTTTTAAAAATAAATGTTAGGTAAGTAAAATATCAATATGTACTATTTGTAATAGTATTTCAGTTATCAAAAATTTAACCCTTGAAATAAGTCTTTATATTATGTATTTTGTTAAAAAGGCTTTTAGTTACTATATAAACTATCTAAAAATTTGTTCATTATTCATTTTAACATAGGTTAAGCATGGTATATATAGTAAGGAAATATCTTTCTAGTTCATAGCCCATTAACCAGAAATGTTTAACAGTTTTATTATATAGTTTAGAAATATAGTAAATACATTTCAGTTATAAAAAGAAAGTTCTTTTTCCCCCGTAGTTTCCAGTGCTGTTTATCTTGGTAGACAAAGATCCAGTATAGAAAAAAAAATCAGAGTGCTTTATGAATACTCAATTTACATGGTTAATATTAGTTATAAGGGAGTCTTCAAATAGAACTTGATTTTGTTATATTTGTTTTGCTGGGTATTTTAAAGGAATAAAGCTGCATTTATAATTTTTATAATGTTTGAATAGTATTTTTTGGTAAGTTATAGTTTCCTTATATTTATTCCTCCTATGCATTTTTTTAGATGTTATCTGAAAAATGGAAAACAGATTATTTACAAAAGCTCATTTAGTTAAATACTTATGTTGGCCCTTATTAATAAGTAAGAAAAGTGAGTACCATATCTTTTTTGTTTCTTACCTATATTCTGGTGGAGAAGATTATATAAAGATTAGTTAAGATGGAAGGAACAGGAGAAAGTAAAAGGGATGTTACATGTTCTAATTCTGTATTTACCCTTTGAAAACATACATACATATACATATATGCATATATACATATATATATATATATATTTTAAATCCTCACCCTAGAATATTTTCCCATTTATCTTCAGATAGAGTGGGAGGGAGGGACAGAAACATTGATGTAGAGAGAGACACATTGATTGGTTGCCTCCTGCACAACCCCAACCAGGGCTAGGGACCGAACCATAGCTGAAGTATGTGCCCTAGACTAGAATTGAACCCAGGACTCTTTGGTCCACTGGATATTGATGAGGGAGAACATTGATTGGCCGCCTCTCGCATGCTCGCCAACTGGGGATCAGGCCCACAACCTGGGCATATGCCCTGACCGGGAATCGAACCAGCGACCTCTTGGTACATGGGTTGACATGCAACCATTGAGCCACACTGGACAGACTGACCTTTGAATATTTTTAAGTTACTAATGTAAAAGTTCTAGCTCCTATAGGCTAATAGAAGAAGAATAATAGGTAACATCTATGTGGAAAATAAGAATAAAATAAATAGAATATAACAAATAAGTAGTTATAATAATTAAATTTAACAATTATGTTTTTAAATAAAACAAATAATTTGAGGCGTGGTAACTAAATTTAAGTTGCAGTAAGATGATACTGGTATAAAAACATTTCTTTTTAAATTTCAAAGTATTAAAAGCCAAAAGTATTTTCCCATGATTGGGAATTTTTTATTTTAAAGAAACTCCATAGTTTATGTATATCAAATGAGATAGTATTCTTTGGATTTCATTTTTTTTCCTTTCTTGATTTTAGAGAGAGGAAGGGAGAGAGATACAGAGATAGAAACATCAATGAGAGAGAACATCGATGGCTGCCTCCTGCCTGCCCCCAGCTGGGGATTGGGCCCACTACCTGGGAATTGAACCAGTGACCTCTTGGTACGTGGGTCGAAGCTCAACCAGTGAGCCACACCGGCCAGGGTTTTTTTTTTTTAATCCTCACCTGAGGATATTTTTCTATTCATCTTCATTTAGAGTGTGAGGAAGGGAGGGAGAGAGAAAGAAAGAAAGAGAGAGAGAGAGAGAGAGAGAGAGAGAGAGAGAGAGAAACCTCCACGTGAGAGAGACACATCGACTGGTTGCCTCCCACATGACCCATACCCCAGGGCCTGGACAGAAGTGCAACCAAGGTACTTACCTACCAAATAGTCTTGGTTTTATCAGTCTCATCCAAAGGTGAAAAAAAACAAACCAGAGGGTAAGTGTTTTCAGAGTGGTTCCCAGTGTTTTTTCTGCTTCATCTCATCTGAGATCATGCCATTTTCCTTTTTATTAAAAGTGCATGCTTCATAGCTTGCTGTACATTATTTATAATATTAGTCACATGTATACTTAATTCCCTGTCCAACCATCAGCCCCAGGAAGGAGCTTTCTACCTAACTGCCTAGCCCAATGCTTTGGCTTGTTCATTATCATTATACTTGCCAAGGTAAGTTAGGAAGATGCATGGGACCATGACAGGAAGTCCAGTCTTTTACTTTAAAGCCTAATATTGCTCTTCTGTATTCTGAATTTAGGTACTTCTCAAGCATTAGACTTATTTTATTTTTGTTACATATATCTCTCCTTTTTCCTCTGACACCCTTCTTCCTGCTTCTGTTCCCCGCCTACCCCCAATCTTCACAGTATTGTGTCCATTGGTTTTGCATATAAGCTCTTTGTTTTCTCTCTTCCTGCCCTCCCACCACCCCTCCCTCTAAGGTTTACAGTCTGTTCCCTACTTCCATATCTCCTGATCTGTTTTGTTCATTATATTCCACAAATAAATGAGATCACATGAAATTTGTCATTCTCTGATTGGCCTGTTTTGCTTGGCATAATATTCTCCAGGTCCCACCATGTCCTCTCAGAGGGTAAGATAACTTTCTTCCTTACAGCTGTATAATATTCCATTTTCTATATTTATCACAGCTCCCCCCCCCCTTTATTGATTTTAGAGAAAGAGGAAGGGATAGGGAAAGAGAGAGATAAAAACATCAGTGAGAGAGAACATCAATTGGCTGCCTCCTGCATGCCCCCCCACTGGGGATTGGGCCCACAACCTGGGCATGTGCCCTTACTGGGAATTGAGCCAGCGACCTCTTGGTGCACGGGTCAACACTCAACCACTGAGCCACACTGGCCAGGTGTACCACAGCTTTTTTTTTTTTTTTTTTTCATTTTTTGTTCAGATAGAGCGGGAGGGAGAGAGAAGAAGAGAGAGAGAGAGAGAGAGACATCGATGTGAAAGGGACACATCGAGTGGCTGCCACCCGCACGACCAACCAGGGCCGGGGACAAACTGCAACCGAGGTACATGCCCTTAGCGGGAACCGAACCCGGGTCTCTCCGGACCGCAGGCCGATGCTCCAACCGCTGAGCCAAACCGGCCAGGGCCCACAGCTTTTATATACACTCATTTGCTGATGGACATTTGTATGTCTCTGATGATTAGTGACATTGAGCATTTTTGTATATATCTCTTGGCCATTTGTATGTTCTGTTTGGAGAGGTGTCTATTCAGGTCCTCTGCCCATCTTTTAATTGGATTCTTTATTTTGTTGAGTTGTATGAGTATTCTATAATTTTGGGAATTAATACCTTATCTGATGTATCATTGGCAGTTACTGTCTCCCAAACAATGGGTTCCCTTTTCATTTTGATGCTGGTTTCTTTTGCTGTGCAGAGTTTTGTAGTTTGTAGTCCCATTTATTAATTTTTCCTTTGTTTCTCTTGCCTTAGTTAGGCATTGTATCAGTGAAAATTGGTTAAAATTCTGCTATGTGTGATACCTAAGATTTTACTGCCTACATTTTCTTCTAGGGGTGTTACGGTTTCATTAGTGACATTTAAATCTTTTATCCATTTTGAGTTTTATTCTTATGTATGGTGTAAGTTGGTGGTCTGGTTTCTTTTTCTTTCTTGCATGTAGCTCTCCAGTTTTCCCAGCACCATTTATTGAAGAGGCTGTCTTTAGTCCCTTGTATACTCGTACTACCTTTATTAAATATTAGTTGAGCATAATGTCTTGTGTCAATTTCTGGCTTCTCTGTTCTGTTCCATTCATCTATGTGCCTGTTCCTTGTGTCAATACCAGTCTGTTTTTATTATAAGGCCTTTGCAGTACAACCTGATACCCGGAATTGTGATCCCTCCTACTTTATACTTCTTTTTTTAAGATTGCTGTGGCTATTTCGGCTCTTTTTTGATTCCCTATAAACTTTTGGAATATTTGTTCTATATCTGTGATAAATGTCATTGGTGTTTTAATGGGGATTGCATTGAATTTATAGACTGCTTGGGGTAGTTAGGTACATTTTAATCATGTTGATTCTTCTAATCCATGAATATGGTATATGCTTTCATTTTCTAATATCTTCCTCTGTTTATTTTTTCAATGTACTATAGTTTTCTGAAAACAGGTCTTTTATCTCCTTAGTTAAGTTTATTCCTAAGTAGCTTAATTTTTTGGTTGCAGTGGTAAATGAGATTGTCCTTTTAGTTTCTCTTTGTGTTCATTGTTGGTGTATAAGAATACCAATGACTTCTGGATGTTGATTTTGTATCCTGATACTTTGTTGAATTTATTTTTTAAATCTAGTAGTTTTTTGGTGGAATCTTTAGGGTTTTATATGTACAATATGATATTATATGCTAGTAATGACAATTTTATTTCCTCCTTTTCAGTTTTGATGCCTTTTATTTTTTCTTCTTGTCTGATATTTGTGGCTAAGACTTTCAGTACTAGGTTGAATAAGAGTGGCGAAAGCAGACATCACTGTGTTGATGCAGTTTTTAAGGGAATTGCTTTTAGTTTTTGCCTATTGAGTATGATGTTGGCTGTAGGTTTGTCATATATGGCCTTCATTATGTTGAGGTATGATCCTTCTTTTGCCACTTTGCTGAGAGTTTTTATCAAAAGTGGGTGCTGGATTTTTTCAAATGTTTTTTTTACCATCTATTGATAGGATCATATGATTTTTGTCTTTTCATTTTTTTTATCCTCACCTGAGGCCATTTTTCCATCTTTTGTTCAGATAGAGTGGACGGGAGAGAGAGAGAGAGAGAGAGAGAGAGAGAGAGAGAGAGAGAGAGAGAAACATTGACGTGAAAGGGACACATCGAATGGCTGCCACTCGCATGACCCAACCAGGATTGGGGACAAGCTACAACTGAGGTATATACCCTTAGCGGGAACCAAACCCAGGTCTCTCTGGACCGCAGGCCAACACTATAACTGCTGAGTTAAACTGGCCAGGGAGATCTTTCATTTTTGTGTGTGTGATATATCACATTCATTGATTTGCGAATATTGTACCTGACTTGCATCCTGGGATAAATCCCACTTGATTATGGTGAATAATTTTTTAAATTTATTGCTGAATATAATTCGCTGATATTTTGTTGAGGATTTTGGCATCTGTTCATCAGGGATATTTGCTTGTAATTTTCTTTCTTTGTAGTGTCCTTATCTGGTTTTGGAATTAGGATTATGCTGGCTTCATAAAAAGAGTTTGAAAGTCCTCCTTCTCTTGAATTTTTTGGAATAGTTTGAGCAAAATAGGTGTTAGTTCTTTGAAATATTCAATACAACCCTCCTGTGAAGCCATCAGGACCACGGCTTTTGTTTATTGGGAGTTTATTGATTACAGTTTAAATTTTCCAAGTTGTTATTGGTCTTTTCAGGTTTTCTGACTCTTCCTGTTGTCATTTTGGAAGACTGCATGCTCTAGGAATTTGTCCATTTCACTTAGATTTTCCAATTTGTAGGTATATAATTGTTTATATTATCTTGTTACAATCCTTTATATTTCTGTGGTGTCAGTTGTTAATTCACCTCTTTCATTTCTGAGTTTGTTTATTTTG